CCCCAAAACCCCAAAACCCCAAAACCCCAAAACCCCAAAAACCATTATCATTGAACAGTCTGAATGTATTTAAATTAAAAAAAGGTAATTAAAAGACATGAAAAATCATTATAAAGAATAAAATAATCTATGATGAAACAATTTAAACTCTAATTTTTCATTTTTACGATAATATTCAGCCTCAATGAACTTGCTCATCAAGTTACTCTACAACTACTATAAGATAAGGATTTTGTCAATCTAGATTTGTCAACATTCATACCCAATTTATGAGACTAAGGACAAGACTATTGTATAATCAAAGGAGATTTCCTTATATTTATTTCATGTCCTTCTACATCTTAATCATTGGTCGTAGATGGTGAGTCATTTTTAAATCCAAACAAATTTTACAATATAACAATCAAAAATATGGATTTTTATGCAAATGTTAAATAGTGGATTCCTTAAAACATTATCTCTTATGAAAATGTTACTAATGTTTATAGCTACCGAGGGTCTGTAAATATTATAGGAAAATACAATAATAGATAGAGATTAAATGACAATAATCAGACAATCGTGTATAGAGACAGAATATTAAGTTACTATTATGATGGTTGGGATAATGTCTAAATTAGATCTTAAAGTCTCAGCTCCTCATCTCCAAAATCCTATAATCTAACATTCTTTGATAGTAGAATTCAAATTGCCAAAGCAATTAGCAGCTATGATGAAGAGTACATTGAAGGAACAAATGATTTCACACCTCCGATTTTATACTCTAAATTCATGGTTACATCTTAAAGATTACCGATCTCGTTTGATATTAGTAGAAATCAGGATGACAATTATACATTGTATATCGGAACTATCAATGATAAAAACTACTCATAAATATCTGCAATTAGGATCAGACCAGGTGCTAATAAGCTAGACTTAATTTAAAACTATTCTTTCATTCAGATGTGCTCAAGCTAGATAGTAACATCAGATAGACTCATTGCAATTCAATGTGATATCAATGGAGAAATTCACATTTACGCAAAAAGTGGTTTTTCTCTAATACTAAGACTTAGGATTCCAACCTAATGGGCATTTACTGAGTTTTAGATAAGCAATTTTACATAAAACACTAACTTCTTTATGATTCATAGATCATATCAGAATTTTCTTTTCTTTCAATTGACTAATTATACTTTTACCACATCAAGCATATAGAAAGTGGTGAACGGTACAATTTAGACAATGTAAGAAACAAAATTGCTAACTAGGTATAATCTATACATGTATGAAGTCATATTCTCATCTAATTACAATCAAATTTATACCACTGGAAGTTAGCCTAATCTAATTTACTCTTCAGATTAGTAATTCTAAATATAGAAAACTTATGATACTTATCTACTCAAACAAACGACAAGAAATCCATTCTAGTATAGTTATTCGTAGATTTGCTTCTATGATTAATATCAAGACTCTAGAAAAAAATGTAGGCCATGTTCAATTAACTCTTATTCTCTTACAATAAATCCTACTCAGTGCTACTCGTGTGCCAACATTAATTAGCTAAACTTAGACCAAGATTCAATTCAAAAATTAAGATTTTTATGTCTACCTGCTTAGGATCATATCTCCAGTGTAAAAAATTATACATCAGATAGATTTACATATCCAGTAGTAATACCTTCAAGTGGAAGTGGAGAGGATTTCTTAAGAGATACCATAGATTTCAGTCAAGAATATCTTGTTAATTTGATTTTCGCTGTTATTATTATTGTCTGCTCATTGATAATAATCATTGTCATTGTACTGATAATTATTTGTGCCAGAAAAGCCATTCTCAGAAGTAGGAGGAGAAATAATTGATAGGCAGTATTTGCATTTGACTGGTCTCAGTAGAATTAAAGAAATAGTGATTAACTGAGTTTGAGCTCCAATTAAGTAAAGGTAAATAGAATAAATGAGTTATCTCCTGAGAATGTTTATCAAGCAGATATAAAACCAGAGGGTAGTACTGAGAAAGATTGCTGTGTCATCTGCTTTGATGATTTCAAGTCTTTTGATAGAATAAGAACAACTTAGTGTAGTCATATATTTCATTCAAAGTGTATGACATAATGGGTTGAAAGTTAACTTAATACTTTTATGCAATACCCATCACATCAAAACGAACCATTTTGCCCAACATGTAAGCATGATTTAACCAAAGAAATAGAAAAGAAAGCAACTGCTAGAGAAGAGTAAAATAATAGAGTATCCAACATTTAAGTTAATTAGGAAAATGCAAATTATGGACCTGATGAGGATTAAAGTAGATCTCCCTTTGTAATGGGCCCACAACCTAACTCAATGAATAATGTTCATACTATGGTGATGAGCATTGAAGATATGCCATTAGACTAGGATAATATGTGATCTGATTTTGAAAAATGTTAAAAACGTTTAATTATAAAAGTATTATGTAAGGTATTTAAAATATATTGATTTTTTAATCTTTATTTTTAATAGTTAATTTTACTAACGGGGTTTTGGGGTTTTGGGG